AAGATGGTGGGCCTCAAGAACGCGCTTTGGGTGCCTAGCCTTGCTGCGAACCTGATTTCCATGCGGCAGTTGGCAAAGGCCGGCATGGACACGAACTCGAAGGGAGGCAAAACCTGCACCGCGAGGCTTGGCGAGCGGATTCTTTGGGACATTCACGAGGATAGGGACTTCTACAACGAGATGTGGCAGATCACTGTGGTCCCCATGCCTAAGGAGAGGCAAGTGGCAGCAAACGTCAACACCAAGGGTGAAGCGGCTGGTAGCAGCGTTGGCGCGAACGGTCGCGTTAAGGAGAATGAGTCCAACAAGTGGAATCTTGGAGGGACCAGCAAGCATTGTGAACCTAAGGATAGTGGTGCAGCACGCAAGGAGCAGAAAAAGGGTGAGGAGAACCCCGAGGCAGCAGCGGACGAGGAGTACGGAGAGAGCATGTGGGGCGCTATTGCGAGCGCGGCATTCTCCAATCCGACTTCGGCTACGGGGGAGTGTGATTGGCTCACCTTGCATTGGCAAATGGGGCATGTGGCCCTGCCTATCTTGCAATAGCTAATGAAGAATGAGATGGTTGCTGGCATACGTGTGAAGGGGGAGCCGGATGAGGTGCTTGGTTGCCCGACGTGCAAGCCAAGTTCACCCGGTTTCCGTTCCCTAGTTCGGAGGCAACGGCAAAGGCACCACTTGATGAGGTGGTGATGGACGTGGTGGCCCCCGTGAAGCTTGGAGCTGCTGGAGCAGAGTATTTCCTCACCATGTGGAAGCAGACAAATGGGTGCCCTATGTGGAAAAAAGCCAAAGGTGGATATGCTTCGGGTGTTCGGGTGCATGTGCATGGCGCTCGTACCTAAGCATCTTCGGCACAACAAGCTTGGTGCCAAGACGATATAGGCTGTGCACTTGGGCATGGCTCAAAACAGCAAGGGGTGGCTCCTTTGGGACCCATTCACCAAGAAGTTTATGGTGAGCAAGGATTGCAAGTTCATGGAGAACTTCATGTACAAGGATTGGAAGGTGGGGAACGAGGCAAAGATAGGCATGCGGTTTGGGGAGGTGAAGAGTTCCGGCCTGGAGCAAGTGAACCTGCCTTTGGAGCTGAGCAGCGGCAGCAGTACCAGAAGGCAATCTTCCCTTGTGAATGGGGGAGAGGAGGCAAAGGATGCAGAGGAAGAAGAGGAGGAGGTGCAGCAAGTGAGCGAGCGTGCACCGACACTTCCTTTTCGCACTACGAGTGCTCCACGGATCCGAGCCACAACGCAGCAACGCCAAGGCCTTCAAGTCCCTGCTGCTGAGGAGGAAGGAATGGGCAAGAGGAGAGTTCAAGCCCCAAATAGGGTGACCTATGATGCACCGGGAAAGCAGGGCAAGTCAGCCCTGGCCGGAGCGGCAATGATGGTCGGAGACGACGAGGAGTGTGACCACGAGGAATGTGTGTTCGTGTTCTTCTCCCTGGTGGAGATGCCGGGAGAACCAGCAACTCTTAAGGAGGCCTTGGAGAGAAGTGATGCTGAGGAGTGGAAGAAGGCCATGGAGAGTGAGCTGAAGAGTTTTGAGGAGATTGACACGTGGGAATTAGTGGAGCTACCGCAGGGGCGTAAGGCGATTACGTCCAAGTGGCTCTTCAAGATCAAGTCGGATGCCGACGGCATGATCGAATGCTACAACTCTAGGCTTGTGGCTAAGGGGTACCAGCAGAAGGAGAAGGTGAATTTCAAGGAGCTGTTTGCTCCTGTGGTGAAGCCAATGACGCTGCGGACCCTACTCGCGGGAGCCGCCATCAAAGGATGGGTGGTGAAGCAGATGGACATTGTAACGGCATTCCTCAACGGCGTTCTAGAGGAAGAGATCTTCATGGCGCAGCCAGAGTGGTTTGATGATGGTAGTGGCAGAGTGTGGAAGGTGAAGAAGGCCCTCTATGGGCTGAAGCAAGCCCCTAGGCAATGGTACATGAAGCAGCGCGAAGTGTTGGAGGAGATCGGCTTCACTCCCTCAACGGCCGATCACTCTTTGTTCATGCTTGGCGAGGGGGAGCAGAGGAGCTTCATGGTGGTGTACATGGATGACATCCTCATCTTCTCACCTTCCTCTGACCTTGTGAAGGAGGTGATGATGAAACTTCAAGACAAGAACAAGTGCGAGTCCCTTGGTGACGTCAACTTCTACCTTGGGCTCCACATTGAGCGTGACGTGGAGAAGCGGTGCATGCGGGTGCACCAACGCAAGTACCTGGAGGCCTAGGGTGCCAACTTTGGGCAGAGTGAAGGCCATGTGGCTACTCCCTTTCCCTCTGGGTTCAAGTGTGTGAAAGGACCAGAGGTGGAGAGCGTTGGTGAAGAGGAGAGGCGCCGTTTTCACTCGTTGGTGGGCAGCCTCATGTATGCGGCGGTAAACACCTGATCGGACGCTGCCTTCGCTACCGGGCAGGTTGCTAGGGTTGTTCAATGCCCTAATGAGGAGCAGGTAGCAGTTGGAATGAGGGTGGCCAAGTACCTTGGCCAAACACCGGCCGTTGGGCTGCAATACTCGGCGGCGGCGCAAAGGCGCCAAAAGGGCGCGGATGGTGTTGAATCCGGGCGTTTGTTCCTCACCGCATTCTCCGATGCCTCTTATGCATCAGAACCAGAGGAAATGACAAGCGTGGGAGGCTTCAACTGCTGTGTTGGTGGAGGCCCAACTGCTTGGGAGAGCAAGAAGCAAGTTGATCAAGCATTGAGCTTGGTGGAGTCCGAGTACATGGCACTCTTCTGTGCCGTACGGGAGATTGTGTGACAGCGGCGTTTGTTGGTTGAATTGGGGGAGGAGCAGCAGGGACCTACCCCACTCTACTGTAACAGCCAGGGTGTCATTGCTCTTGCTAAGAACTCTGTCTTGCACGGCCTCACCAAACACATGAGGGTGAAGTGGCATTAGACGAGGAGCATGGTAGCCGCGGGTGAGGTTGAGTTGCACTATGTGAAGACGATGGGGCAGCCAGCTAATATGATGACCAGATGCTGGTGGAGTAGTAGCATTGGTAGTGTTGCAAGCTGGCTGGGATGGCTCTGAACTGAGAGCAACAGATCCTACGGGCAACAACCCGAGGGTGAGTTTGTTGGTGCAACCCTACGGTTTGCACTCGGCTTGTTGTCCGTGTGTGTGCATGCGTGTGTGTATGGAATGGTATGAGAGGCATGAGATAATATAAAATTCTTGCTCATAATATTGTGTGAGTGATGGGCCTTGATGTTGAATGTGAGTGTGTGTCGAGTCAATAGCGAGTCATTGCTAGTCGCGTGTCTACGTTGTCGTTTGTGTGTCTCGCGCGGTTTCTATCTTGTCGTTTGTATGTGTCGCGCGGTTTCTATTTTTGTCGTGTGTGTGGTACATTCAGCGTGTCGCAGGTGTGGGCAGCAGACCCATCAAGAACTCAAGGACAAGTTTGTGATGAAGAACCCAAGCCTTAGTGTCAAGCCTCAAGTGATTTCGAAGCTCGCCACAAGGGTACACTTCAAGATGTTGAAGATAGTTACATTACAATGTGTAGTGTAACATCACCAACGACAACCTCTTCTCCAGCTCGCCTGCCCAGTACACGTGAGTTTTTGCATTTTATCTGTGTGTTACACTTGTGAGAATTCTCTCTCAACAGCTAGCCTGTTGAGTTCCCGCTGCACTCAAACTTGCCACTCGCTGTTCATGCCTTCAATTCATCAGCTGTCTCGTACTTCAGATTCTTTTCCTATCACATCACCCTCTTTCCCCATCATATTCGCCACTCCACACTTTCTATCCACCACTCTGGCGCAAGCCAGTGCTTCCCCCGCTCCTTGTCCTTTGTGCCTCTGTTGAGCTGTTCATTCTAGCTTGGTCGTTCCTCATCTTCTTTCTGCACCCCCACAATCACAGCCACACACACTGGCCTTCTGCTTCCTTCTCTTTTTTCCCTTCTCACTGCACCCCCACTCCCCACTTTCCTCCCAACCCCTCCCCACCGCAGCCACGCCACGCTGGCAATCTTCTTCCTCGTCTTCTTCTCGCTCGCCATTATCACTAATGGCTGCTCCGTGCACCCGGCCTTTTCGTCCCACTCATAGTGGCAGGCAGCACGTACGGCCGCATGATGGGCAAGCTCATGCGCTCACTCACCTCCTCCACCTCCCCCTCCCTCACCCCTCCCCTTTGGTCTGCCAGGTTGCTCTGGTTCGGAGAATCCAATTCTTACACGGGATTGGACGAGAGGAGGTACGCGCTGCTCGGTACCGCGTCCCTATTGGGCGGCTCCATGCGCATGGTTGTCTCCCTCTCCGTCATGCTGCTGGAAGTTACCAGGAAAAATCTCCTGCCGCTGATCATGCTCACAACAACCATGGCCAAGGAGGTGGGGGACTGTTTCAACGAAGGGGTGGTTGACGAGGCGAGCCACTTAAAACGTCTACCGATGCTGGAATACCCTCTGCTCGAGTTCATGAAGAACTTACAGCTACAGACGGAGTGAGGGGCCCGGGTGTAGCTCTGAAGAGTGTGGAGCGCGTGGGGGAGGTTTTGAGAGTCCTGCAGACCACCACCCACTCCGCCTTCCCTGTCGTGCAGATTGTGGGTGGGGGGGAGGGGGGAAAGCTGGGAGAGAAGGAGAAGGAGGGGGGAGGTGAGGGGGAGGGGGAGGGGGAGGTGCGGGCGGTGCTGTACGGCATGGTGCTGCGCTCGAAGCTGCTCAAGCTGCTAGCGGATAAGTCCGCCTTCCAGCGCGGCACTCTCTGCACCGCTCGCACCAATCCCCTTCACAAGTTTTCTTCTTTCTACCAACACTGTAGCTGCTGCTGTGCTGGAACCCTGACCTGCTACCCAGCGTACCGTGCGGTTTGAGGGCCAATGGGGAGACGCCACGGGGCACAGCTGAAGGTGGCCATGTGGGAGGGCAGAGACTGGCAAAATCTCTGTCCCACAAGCACCGCACGGCGACTGCGATAGTGAACGTTAAGAAGACTCCTTGTATCGAGGATGTCGATCTGAGTGCAGAGGAGTAGGACATGTTTCTGGACCTGCACCCCTTCTGCAACACCTCTCCCCACGTGGTGGGCGAGGCCATGAGCCTGCGCAAGGCGTACGCCATTTTCCGGCGAATGGGGCTGCGCCACCTGTGCGTGGTGCGCGAGCGCATGCAGGTGGTGGGTGTGTTGACGCGCAAGGACCTGCTGCCCCACTCGTTTGAGAAATAGCAGCTGGAGGAGTGGAACGATGGCGACAGCGACAGCAGCGATGAGGAGGAGGAGGAGGAGGAGGAGGAGGAGGAGGAGGAGGAGGAGGAGGAGGAGGAGGAGGAGGAGGAGGAGGAGGAGGAGGAGGAGGAGGAGGAGGAAGAGGAGGAGGAGGAGGAGGAGGAGGAGGAGGAGGAGGAGGAAGAGGAGGAGGAGGAGGAGGAGGAGGAGGAGGAGGAGGAGGAGGAGGAGGAGGAGGAGGAGGAGGAGAAGGAGGAGGAGGAGGAGGAGGAGGAGAAGGAGGAGGAGGAGGAGGAGGAGGAGGAGGAGGAGGAGGAGGAGGAGGAGGAGGAGGAGGAGGAGGAGGAGGAGGAGGATGGTTCGATGAGGGGAGATGGTGGGGTCGCGAGCGCGAATGGCAGAGCAGAAGTGAGTGGCAGTGGTGTGGGTGGAGGGGCAATAGCGGATCGGGCGGTTGTGGCAGTGGCGAGTGATAGGGAGGAGAGTGGGAGGCGTAGGAGCGGGCATGTAAGAGTCAGTGAGGCTGGTGTTGGCACCCCGAGGCGTAGGAGTGGCCATGCGAGTGACGGTGAGGCTGGTGTTGGAACCCCGAGGCGCAGGAAGCGTGCCATTCCGTCCTTCATGTAACGCCTGTGGGCTAAGTGTTAATGGGCATTCCGCTGCGCCAAATAACACCCTCGTTTTGACCCAGTGGGTAGCGAGGTGTTACATTTGGTATCAGAGCCTAGGGTTCGATTCCCGGCTGGACCACACTTTCCGCCTTTGGCGAGAACTGAAGTGCGGTTGTAACCAGCTCGAACCCAGCGAACGATCCTCCGCTGGCCTGGTCCACCAGCGAAGCCGCTGCTTGGAGCACAGCGAACAGATCCCTGCGGGGGCCGACTCCCTGAAGTTCATCAACGGGGACGTTGACACCAGGGGGGGACGAGTGTAACGCCTGTGGGCTAAGTGTTAATGGGCATTCCGCTGCGCCAAATAACACCCTCGTTTTGACCCAGTGAGTAGCGAGGTGTTACACTTCATCTCACGCTGCCACACACAGAAGTACCACATGCTCAACAACAGCATGCCACGCCATGCTGTACAACACTCTGTGCTCCATCCGGTTCAACAGTGGCACCTACCGAACAAGTGTTAGTATGTGATGTGACTTTCATCCAATTTCATTACATTACTCAGACCATGTGAAATCAAACCATGTCCTCTGACATATGAGAACAGACCATGTCCTATTGGTTATTCCCATTTACAGAGTGCGTTCAAAATAGCCAGTTTCTTGCCTAGAGCAGAGGCTTGTTGTGCCGTCGTTTTTGCCCATTTCTCCCGTGCTGTTTGCGTTTTGGGCAGAACCGTGCACTCATCAGAATCCATGAATTACTGCATTGCTCACATGCACTTGGGGAAGTCGTGCGTTCCAAACTTCCCAGCAACTGGGAATGCCAAGGACAATAAAATAGAACCGTGACGGTTGCAAACGACACGACGGCCCGTGACAACTTCTAGGACAGCACGCCGCCGATGCCGTACGCCTCGAAGCAGTTCCCCGTGCCCGTGTGCAGATGCGCCAGCACCGGAACCGGCGGCTTCTTCGACTTGACAAGGCGGACCGCCATCTTCATGGGCGACGCGCTCGGGGGCGCCTTGAAAACCTTCACGCTCACGCCGGGCTGCGAGGTCATCTGCACGTCACCCACGGCCATGCTGTCGAGTTGGCCGTCGAAAATGTGGATTCGGTAGAGCTTCTCGTTGTTTTTTATCTTGGTTGGGTTGATTTTCGCCGCCTTGAGAGCCTGATTGGTTGGCAGCAGCAGCGTGCTGTCGTAGAATTCTCCGACATCGTAACCCTTCTCTGCGAAGAAAAGGCCAACGGCGGGTGTCAGTGTGGGCAAAGACGTGAGTCGAATTTCCGCGTTGAACGTGCAGCTATTAAGTAGCAAAAACAGCCTTACTACTTACTAACAGCCTTGATAAGCTTCTTCAGCTCAGTCGAAATGTCGCTGTAGAACTGAGGCTTGGCGTCCAGTACTTTGACCAGCTGCTGCGCCTCTTTGATGCACGATGGCGTTGTGAAGGCCGTCGCTGTGCTTGCGAGGAGGACGGCGACAGCGGCAAGCAGCACGAGCTCACAAGCTCGAGCCATATTGGCGACGACTCAAGAAGGGTGACAAAGCTGGCTGTGGAGATGCAACAATTGAGAGGCTCTGGTGGGAATACGAGATGGTTTGCGCGACTACATACGGGCATGACATGCTCCGGCGAAACTGCGCTGATGACAGTCTGGGTGGCTGGGAGGGGTACACGATCAGTCGTGACCATACGGAAACGAAAGGTCCGGAAGAACCGAAGCGCGGTCGGGAAGGATCGGAAGATCTTGAAGATCAGAGGCAAGGCGGGAGGCCTTTCTTTAGATGTACGTAAACGACTCGAGCTTGAATTATGCAGACAACGTCTCACCATGCGATATCCTACCCACAATGCGAGTGGGTACAAAACAGGAACGGTCTGAGGGACGAAGCGACGGAGGGAAGGACAGGAAAGGACCACACAACAATGGCGGGAGAAGATAATGGGGGACAGCGGCTCGTAAGAATCGAGGCGCATCTCAGCTGTGGACGTTCAACCAATAATATTACGCCGGGTGGCAGTCAAGAGCGGAACACAGAGAACTTGACCTTCAAAATGGAAATAAACTGGATGAGGGGCTCCGCTTTCCTGCAATAATCATATATGAATACATGCACACAGCAGAAAATCAATGTATTTATACGGAACATTTCGAATTCCTGACTCCACCGCATACAACACACTCCACGAGCTCGACGGTTCTTCGTCCGCCAACTCCTGCTCTAATGTAAACGAGCCACAAACTTTCGTCAAGCCGATGACTCTGCTATTGCGACACCTATGTCGCTCAAGCCACATCGACCTACACGTTTTGATCCAAGTCACGGGTGGTCCAGCGGTTCAGTCGTAGATTTTCACGATTGATGTGCTTTTTCATGCAAACCACATCACAAGGACCCGCCATTTTTTAGTAGCACATCATTGTTACTGTGCCGAAACGAAAGAGTATGAGCCTCTTTTCCTCCCCTGTCCCTGACCCTATGGCTCCTCCTCTGCCTGTCTCATCTCTCATTGCTTATGTAACTGCCTTTCACTCCAGCCATCACCTTTACTACGCTGGTCAATTGGTCTCTAATGCTGCCTGTCCTACATATGCCGGGGGTATGCCTGCCTTTAGCAGTGACGTCATTGAGGACACGCTCTTTGAGTTAGCATTCCTTGTGGCAGTTTGAGCTAGCGTTCCTAAACTCCCCACCACAGTGCCATGCAGCTAGCGCATGAAGGTGACCCAGCCGCTTTTGACATCCCAACTTTCGCACTTTAATTTAGGCACTTTTGGGTGAGAGGGCCTTTTTGTGGATAGCAGGCATAGATTTTGTATTAGTTTATTATTGTTGAAAGTATACACCGCAATCACAGATTCACAATAACGATAGCGGTCGTAAAACCTTGCGTGTGTGAGCAGATTTTGTCTGCTCCAGCGAAGATTCTACCGGTATGGTGGGTTTTAGAGTGTCCTGGGATTGGTCCAAATGGACTCAAAACCTCTAATCCGCGTCCACTTCTTATCATTTGCCAGCCGTATCTTATTCAGCACCCGTTGCTCCTCCAATATGCCCTTGAGAAAACTGCCCCCCTACGCCAATTTCTTTTTCTTATGCCACGATGTGAAGCGTACCTTGCTTTCACATATGCCCTCGCATATAAACGAAAGGCGAACATTATCCTTCTCAGCACTCGATGCGCTCGGAATATGCCCCCCTTGACGACAGCTTCGCACCGCTCCAGCCAAATCTGAGGTAACGTGATCGCGATAAGGGTTGCTTTCGGAAAACCTGTGCTTGTTTCCGCCTTGCAAAAGAGGAGGTATTCTTGCGAGTACGTGACCCAATGTGAGTTCAGCATGCGAAGGGCTCGCTTCAAAGAAGTCATCACTGTTTGAATTCGCAGGCATGCGAAGAGATAGTGCTCCGATGCCTCCTCGCTGTTACAGTGTGGGCAGAGAGGTTTGTCACTGAGGAAGGCAAGCCTCTCCTCCACTTGAAGATTGAATTTGTACACCCACGTGAGGACATCCCTTAGCCTGTTGGGGGTGACGAAGGATTCCCGTATAACCATTATCTTTCTCCAGTTAATTGTACCGCTCCACCTGGCAGCCCAGTGCAGCATCCGATGCTATTGCACATACTTCCCCTTCCAGTGTTTCCGCATCCTCTTCAACGGAATCACCCCCCCATTCTCCAGGATCGGAATGCGTGTAGGAGCCGCTCCGCCTGCAGACCCCCAGCTAGCCAAATTCGTGTTCGTGCATGGGGTCAGTGTCAGAATGCTATAATTGTCTAGTCTGTAGTGGGGTACTCTATAGTGAGTACAGCCCAAATTAGGGTTTGTTATGTGTATCCTATCTGCTGCTAGTGCAACCCCTCTTTCTGTTTCTAATATTCTACTAGCGTTTCTTGACATGCTATCAGAGCGAGAATGCTCTTGGCCTGTGGGCCCACCTGCTTCCGCTGCTATCCTGCCTGTCGCGCGCCCGGGGCGCGCGACGTTTTGCCTACTGCGCGCCTGGCGCGCGCGGCGTTTTTTCTTCCCGCCGCATGCTCGGGGCGCGCGGAGCGGGTGGCAGTTTCCTGCCCGCCGCACGCCCCGGGCACGCGCGGCGGTTTCGTCGCCCGTCGCGGCACCCTAGGGGCCCGCGCGCCGTCCCCCCTCCCGTCGCCCGTCGCGGCGCCCCGGAGGCCCGCGCGCTGTCCCCTCCCGTCGCCCGTCGCAGCGTCTCGGGGGCCCGCGCGCCGCCCCTTCCCGTCGCCCGTCGCGGCGCCCCGGGGGCCCGCGCGCCGCCTTGCCCCTCTACGGTTGCGGCGCCCTGGGGGCCCGCGCGCCGCCCTGCCCGTCGCCCATCGCAGCGCCCTAGGGACCCGCGCACCGCCCCGCTTCCGCTCGCACGCCACCCCAGCTACTGCCCGTGTATCTGCCCCACGCCCCACGCGCGCCGCCTGCGTTGGAGGTATGGAGGTGGCGGGTGTGTGAGCCGTCCCCTGCTCCTCCTCCTCCTCCATCTCCCACTGCTCCAGCTGCCGCTGAGGGGGGTGGGTGTATGGGAGCCGAGGGAGTGGCGCTAGGGGGGTGTCGTGGGAGTGGAGCTAGGGGTGCAGCAAGGGGTGTGTAAAAGGGGTGTGGGACAGTTGGGGAAGGTAAGCGGAGGTAGCCGTTGTGACGTCAGCAGCGCCAGTAGTCTGGGTTCCTTGCTCCGGTAGCCTAGCGAGCCTGCTGCGCCAGTCGCCCGTGGGTCCGTTGCCCCTGCCGCTCGTCTTAGCTGCGGAGCGAGTTACTCCTGTAGTCCGGGGCCCTTGCTCCGGTAGCCACCGTGCGCGCCGCATGTGTTGCCCGTGTGTCTGCGGCTTTACCCGTCGCCTCCTATCTCCACTCCTCTCATAGTCCCTTCTCCTCCTCGCTTGCCCTCTGTGACTGCCTCTAGCTTTGCTTGTGCTTGTGAACTTCTTGTGTAACTGCTTGTGCTGATTATACCCCACTTTGCCTATGGGGGTGTGTTAGAATGCTATAATTGTCTAGTCTGCAGTGAGGTACTCTATAGTGAGTACAGCCCAAATTAGGGTTTGCTATATGTATCCTACCTGCTGCTAGTGCAACCCCTCTTTCTGTTTCTAACTTTCTGCTAGCGTTTCTCGACAGTCAGCACGGCCTCCCTCCATTCTCCTGTTGCAGTTATGAAAGCCTTCAGCGCTAGCCTGGCAGGGCCCTTCCCTCCTATCTGCTCTGTATGCTTCGCCATAAATTTCAGCACGTGGCTACCGACCTGCTGCTTCTTCACCAGGTCGCACAGCGTCCAGTCCCACAACTGCTCTGCATGCCTTTGTCCTCCCACCAGCGCTGTTACTCCCATCATGATGGCTCGGTTAAACACTATCCTCTCCTTCGGGATCTCCTCCCTCGTCACCACGACTGTCCGAATGCTGAGGGGCGACTCACACGTCTGCTTCCAGCGCCGACTCCTCCCTTTCCAGTGCCGCAGTAGCCGGTCATACGATGTGAAGTATACACGCCCAGCGGGAGGTCTGCTGCAAGCACCATCAACTCCTTCTTAAGCTGATCTACCTCCATCATCATCAAATCAATACGCCTAGCAGCCAGACACGCGAGTGTGACACTTGGGTCGTGAACTCCCAGACCGCCGTCTAGTCTCGGGATGTAAAGCAACTCCTTGCTCCAGAGCAAGAAAACCTTTGTTGCTGTCGCTTTATTGACTGTGACGAAATTATGAATTGACTTCTCCAGCTCCTTCCAAATGTTTGCAGGTGGCGGATACACCTGCGCCTGAAAAGTCATCACTGGTTGGATGTAGTGATTCGCCACCGCTCTCCTTGCCTTCTCCGTAAGAAACTCCTACTTCCAACGCGTTAGTCACTTCATGATCTCCTCCAGCGCGTTTTCCCAGGTAGGCAGGCCGTTGCCGTTCGGAGTTACCCATACCCACAACAACCTTTATGCTTCTTGCGACTTCGCCCATTTGAACGTGCTCCCATCCAATTCCCCAAGGTTCAGTCCCAAAGGTAAGACCATCGTCTTTGCTTTTTTCGTCACCTAACCCGATTGCAGCTCAAATTTGTCTAACAACACCTTTGCCGTATCGATCTGCTGCTTCCCCTGCGGGGCCAAAGGGGTGTCATCTGCATACCATGCCAAGCGTTGCCCAGCACTCCTCTATGAATTCTGCACCAGCGGTTCCACCGCGCACAGGAACAGGTACGGTGCCAGCGGGCAGCTCTATTGAACTCCGGACACCACATCAATACCATCACCTAGCCAGCCGTTGATTAACATTCTCGTTGTAGTGTGTGAGTGCAGGCCCCTGATCCAAGACACGAAACGTGTCGGGAAGCCCACGTGCTCCAGTTCATGGAAGATGATAAGCAGCAGATACCAGTCTTAATTATTGTTCTTTCTTGCGTTGACGATATCAACTACCAACGCAACGCCGTCAGCGAGTCTCTGTCCCCAGGATAAACAATACTTCTCCGGCGATATCACTCAGTGGAGTACTTTCTTCGGCCGGTT